TCTGTCTCCCTATACTATGTACAGTGTGATTCTATTTTTGGAAAAGAAAGTCAGAGAACAGTGAGTAAAGAAATGGATGTAATAAGAAATAAGCAGGCAGCAGCACTAATAGCCACCAAGAAGATGGCTATACTGGGAATATCCATATGCCACGGACAGAATATAACACAGTAATGAAAAATGAATACACTACAGTTATACTTAAAACGGGGACATATTTTAGTATCAAAGTCAAGTGAAAAAAGCAAGTCCAAGAAGATTACCTTCAGTATGTTACTCTTTTGTGGAAAAAAAAAAACAAAACTAAACAATATATTCTTAGATAATAAAATTGTTTTTTAAGTGCAGGAATGATGAAGTTAGAGTTTGTGATGGGTTTCTTCCAGGGAAGATGTTCTCAGGGAGATGTTCCCTGGGAGATGTTCTCAGGGAAGCACATCCATAGATGTGTTATGGTCAATATTCTACTTCTTGGAGACGATAGTGTAAAAGTAAAATTAATAATAGTACAACTAAATTAACAAATAAGTATATAATTAAAGAGAAATATAACAAGACTAATTATAATAGTGTCAATGCAGTTCTGTAACCTGCGGATAAAATTAAATACATTTTTAAAAAGAAAGGAATACAACACATTAACAATTAATATCTCTGGATAGTGAAAGTATGCTTTTTTAAAATTTTTCTTTTATTTTCTCTGTATTTTATAATTACTCTATAGTGAATGAGTAGAACTTAATAAATTAAAATTTTTTTTCGTTCTAACAATCTGATGTTTTTTACCCCGTAACAAGGACATGCCGCTATTTAGAAATCTGGGAGAAAAGAAGGAAGTGAGACAGAGGAGAAGGAAGGAGAGAAGCCGGGTGGCGAGGAGGAAGGTCAGCCAGTGAAGCCAAGAGGATGAAGGGTGTGAGAGGAAAGGAATGGCCGGTTCCATCCAAGGCTGCTGAGATTTTGAGTTAGAAGAGAATTGAGAAATGACTATGGACTTCGAGGAGACCAAAATCACTGTCGACTTTGATAAGAGCTATTTCATCGGCGAGGAGCGGGAAGAAAGCCCACAAGAGAAGAGAACAGGATGGGAAGAAATAAAAACAAGTCCATCCACCCGTGTTCTCTGTCCGCATCTTCCCTTTGATGGTTAATTACAGTCGTCCCCGCTTATCCGCGGTCCCGCTGTCCGCGGTTTCAGTTATCCGCGGTCAGCCGC